AGGTGGTTGATCTGTGCTCTGTGGAATACTTAAAGGAATATTCAGCCTTGTCCTCCTGTAGTGAGGATCTCCATTGGGGCACCTGCTTTCCTTCTCAAATTCCGTAAGATATTTGGGCAAGGCAGCAGAAAACCTTTTAACAGTCTGTCCTAGGACTCTCCAAGATCACCCCATCCAACCTGCCCTGGAACACTTCCAGGGATGGAACAGCCACAGCTTCTCTGGGCAACTTGTGCCAGTGCCTCTGTGCCCCCACAGGGAAGAATTTCTCCCCAGTTTCCAATCTAACCCTGCCTGAAAGTAGGTTTTAGCTCCTCCAGCTCCAGTTAAAGCAGGTTTTATACTCCCAGCTGCTCCCAGCTCCAGCTGGAGAGGTGCAACAGAGCTTCCCCATGTAACACCCACCTGTGCTTCCAGAGCTTTGTCATTTAGAGTATTCACAGAGCAAGGCAGGGAATAACATCTCAACCTCAAAGGATATGTCACACCAAGCCAGGGACAGCCAAGTGCTGAGGGATGCCAAAATCCTCCACTGCCTGGTCAAGATATAAGGATTTAAAAATGAAAGACAGCAGAAGGTGTTACTGAACAATAACAGCACAAAAATGTTGCTTTTTATAGTTTCATACATCCTAAAAACATTCCTAAAGGAAGTTTATGGTGATATCTGTATTACAGAACAGTTTGGGTTGCAAGGAAACTTATGGATCCCCCAGTTCCACCTTCTGCCATAGGCAGGAACACCTTCCACCAGCCCAGGTTGCTCCAAGCCCCATCCAACCTTGTCTGGAACACTTCCAGGGATGGAGCAGCCACAGCTTCTCTGGGCAACCTGTGCCAGTGCCTCACCTCCCTCACAGGGAAGAATTCCTTCTCAATATCCCACCTAACCTCACCTGCAGTTTTCAGAAAACCTGAAGCTTCAGCCAAGATCTCACTGAAACATCAGAGGAGGAAATGGAGTTTTTATCCAAAATCGAAAGGAGCCAAAATGAAAAGGAGCAAATATTCCCAACACTGACCAATAGATGGTGGCGATGCACAAGAAATCCTGATCGATATTCCTAGCCTTTACCCCCTCCAGCACTCCCTTTTGGCTTCTGCAAACGACTTTTATGGCTCTTCCCATCCCTTGGGACTGACAGCAGAGCCCAGTGGAGACAGAACGGGCAATGCTAAGTCATTCCTGTAAAAACAGCAATGAATTGTATTCAGAACAGATGAAATGCAACTTTGGAGAGGGAAAAGAGCATCAAAAGAGCAGGTTGATTTGTCAGCTTTGCCAGCACCAAGTTTCTCTCCAGATTCTGGATAAATGAGGGAGATGCAATTTCTGTCAGGAGCTACTTCTTGCATTAAAAAGAAAATAAATTATTATTTCTCTCCAATTTTTTAATTCAGATTGTTCAATGTTTTTCTTGCTTTGTTTTGTTATTTTCAGCCTCCTTTCCTCCCTACTAATCTGCAAATCCCTGGATACAAACTCCACTGCTAATATTCCTGACTGTTTTTAACAAACCACTGTGGGCATAAAGTGGAAAACTCATTAGAGCTTTGTTTGAAGGGCAGAAATTGGGGGCAAAAAAAGAACAGGACAAAGATGATTGGTTCCATTTAACCTGGACATTTACCCTGGTGTCAAATACAGAGCTGGTTATGCATTCCCATTCCATTCACTTGGGTTAGGGATGATCTTGTGTCACCCAAACTGCTTTAAAACTGCACATTCATTTCTTTAGATCTTTCTTAGGAAGAGCTTTCCATGGGAGCTGCCTCCCTGGCCCAGCCCAGCAATCCCAGAATCCTGGAACATCTCAATGTTAAGCCCACACAAACTTTACACATGGGATCTTGACACTTTCCACAGAATCCCAGAGTGGTTTGCTCGGAAGGGACCCTAAATTCACCCAGTGCCACATCTGCCATGGCAGGGACACCTTCCACCAGCCCAGGTTGCTCCAAGCCCCATGCCCATAAATATGTATGTAGATAAGGGTATAACTTGCCATTCACAGGGTCAGAGACCTCCTAGGTGTCATTCCTGATCCCAAATTACACATAGACATGCACAAATCCCATATTCAATGTATACTGTACTATAGATTTACATATATTCTGGAGCAATATGCCATATATTCTGGAGCTAAATGTGTGCACTGACACCTACAAGTTATTGGATTTTCTTCTCCTTCCCAAGCCTCTGTTTAGTTGCATGTCAGTGATCTCTGGAAGTGTTCCAGGCCAGATCGGATGGGGCTTGGAGCAGCCTGGGCTAGTGGAAGGTGTCTCTGCCCATGGCAGAGGGTGGGACTGGATGAGTTAAATGTCCCTTCCATTCCAGAATTATATGGAAGGTGTCAGGAACCCTTGGATAAAGCCTATGCAGAGTTAACAAATGACAAAAAGGTATGGATGAGAGCCCTGGAGGGGGAAAAGAGCCAGACAGAATTCCCTGGTTTGGGATGCCACTTGAGGAGAAAAAGCTTCTGGGAGTGAGCCTGGTAGTGACCCAGAATGGCATGGTGGTGTCTAGGGCACTCATAGGATCTTCCCTCACCTGGTTTTCAGCAGGTAAAACCACACCAGCTCCTGCCTCTCCCTTCAGCTGGAAGAGGAGTCCAGGCCCTGGACAAGCCCATGGAGCTGTGCTGAGCCACACAATAAATTTAGGCACCAATTTAAGCTGCTCACCCTGATGAAAATGTGAAATATTTTTTCTGTCCCTCATCACATGATGATGTGGAATTAAACAGTTACATCTTTACAGGATTAAAGATGTGAATCCAACTCTTACCCCACTGGAGGAGTGTCAGGATCAGAAGGCTCAGTGAAGAACCTTCTCCATCAGCAAAATACCCTTTTATGAATAATTCTATCATTTTTCAAGTGAATATCACTTTATTTCATGGTCAGTGGGAGAGTTCAGCTTTCCATGGGAGTGTTCTCTCTTTTCTTCTCCCCTTGAACATACTAGGAGCACCAAGATTCCCAATGTTTGGAGTTCTAACTGCATCCCAGTAGAAATAGTTCATCCTCTGTAACCAACTCAGAGGAGAAAACCTTTACCTGATGTAAATCAGAGCAGTAACATCCCTGAAGTGGTTTGTACCAGAGCAGAGCTCACCTAGAGCTTTTGGGGGATGCTCACACCTACCTGTGGATGGGGGTCATCTCCTCTGACCAGCTGCTAGGTCTCTTCCACCTTGGATGAGGCTTAGCTGTGGATGTGAGAGGCTTCAAAATTCTGTCCTAGTTATTGCCACAACCATCACTAACCTGTTTAAACCCTTAGCAACCTCCAGGTAGATCCAAACAAGCACAAGAATTCATCACAGGCTCCTCTGGAAATCAAGGAGGAGGTGAGAATGTGCATCCAAAGGGTTGTTTAGTCCAGGTATCTTTAAACACCTGTTGCAAGCAGCTTAGGGTGTCCTAATCAGCTCTGGATGAATCCCTGGAGCTCAGAATTCCAGATGGACTGGGATTACAGGAGATGAAGGTTGATCCACTCCCTGGACTAAGAATGAGCCTGAAAGTCTTCCAGACTATTCCTGCTTTAGCACAGGTCCTATACAGGACCCACCTGAGAGAACATGCTCCATGGGCAGGGACACCTTCCCCTAGCCCAGACTGCTCCAAGACCCGTTCAACCTAACCTGGAACACTTCCAGGGATGGAGCAGCCACAGCTTCTCTGGGAAACGTGTTCCAGTGCCTCATCACCCTCACAGTACATGAACCAACAACTTCTCCATCCGTATTCTCCCCCAGCCTGGAGGACTGGCTGATAAGGACACCTGGGTGGGGTTTGGGCTTACCTTGCTCCAGGTCACCATGGCATATGGACCTACACATGAGCTATTGTTATCCTAGCTTCTCCTCCAGGCTGTGAACTCCAGCACTGTGACTCCACTGGCCAAAGAGAAGGCTATAAGGACTTCCAGAAGCCCCTGAGCTTCTGGAGGAGGCACTGGAGCCCAGCAGTAATTTTTCAACAGCACCAGAGCCAGGAAAACCAGCAACAAAGCAGTACAAGCACCAGGACACCCAAACACCGACAGGCAAGAGTGAGGCAGCAGCTGTGCTGACCCAGACAAGTGTTTTGGTTGGGTGTAACTCTTCAAACAACAATATTTTAACTGCAGTGTTGATATTTGGGGATTTTCTGTGCCAACACTTTCTCCCTGATGTCCATTAGTTCCCATTTTATTACCAATCCTCCAGACACACCTCCAAACATTCCCTCTTATCTCAACACATACATGCAAACACAAAGTCCAGCTATTTCCAAAACAACCCTTTTTCTCCTTACAAAAGAAGGACCAAGAAGGTAAAACAACTTGGAGAAAGCAGCTAAAAAATAATCAGGTACTTAGGTATAAACCTTTGAACTGTTTATTACTAAGTCCTCTGTGTTTTCCAAGAAAAACAGCAGGTTTTGCTACACTTCCTGGGCATTACCCCAAATCAAGTTTTTTGTACCTCTCTCCAAAATTGTGTTGCACCAAGTCATCACCAACTTCCTAAACACCCTTTTTTTCCAACTTGCATTATAAAGCAGAACCAAATTTATTCCAAGCCTCCTGTTCTCCTCTCTTTAATCCTATGCAGTGTTGGATGTCCATGTACAACTGTCTCCCAGAAGCTTCTGCCTCCACTCTTTATTACTTCCCAGCTTAAGTTGTTTGGATAAGCTGCCAACAACCTCACTGGGCACATGACTCCATACTGATCTGTTCAGGGTTTAATCCCTTCAGATATTATTCCCTCAGTGGCTTCCAGAGTTCCTCAGGCCTTGAGATGGATTGTTTACTGGAAGGAAGCTGCTGGAAGGTTGTAAAGGAAGAGCATCTCTTAGGGACAGCATCTCATAACCATGGAAACACTCCAGCTGGAAAGATTTCCCAGACTTTAAGCCTTGAAAAGCATTAGAAAAAACCCAAAACATTTCCAAGCCAAAGTGTTGACAAGCTATGGAGAGCATAATTTTAATATAGGGGTAGGAAAGGGAGGAGGTGCTAAGGATCAGGGAATAGCACTTGGATATAATGCTGAATTTATTACTCTATTTCCATGGAGAGAGACAGTCTGGATGGAGAGAGGCTGCCAGAGGAGCGAGTGCTGGCTGAGCTGGTGGGTCAGAGGGTGATGGGTGGTGGGTTCTACCTTGCCAGGCCATTGATGAGTGCCACAGGGTTTGTCCTCTTCAAACAGAGCCCAAAGGGACATCACAGGGCACAGGAGACAATCCCGTGGTACATGAGTGAGGCCAAATTCAGCCAAGGCTCCAGACCATCAGGTGAGCCAGTGATGATGAAGCAGGTCCAAGGTCAAGTCAATCCCTGGTCAGGGATGGATCTACAATCAAACCAAGGTGCAGATTAAAAGAATCCATAGGTGTACAAACCTATTACTAAACTGGAAACCAGAACTCTTCCAGTATAACCCCAGAGAGGAGCCAACTCCTCAGGCTGAGCTTAAATAGAGCCCATGGGTGGAGGGTGGGGATGGAGCTCCCAGGTGAGGCTGCTTGGGGTGATTAATGCAACTGAGTTCACTCTGGGACAACTTATCACTGTCTGAAAGGGCCCACTGAGTCCAGTGGAATTCCAGAGCCACCTGCTCAGGTTGGACATCCAGGCTGTAGGAACCTCACTGTGCATAATCCCATCCTTGAAGGAACACTGGGGTGTCCTGTGTCCACAGAGAAACAGGCAGTGGTGCTTTGTGTGACACTTGGGGATCCTCTGAAATATCTGAAGTGTCTCTAACCCATCTTCATTCTGTTGGTGAGGACAGACCAAAAGTTTAGCACATCCACAAGTCCTCAGAAACGCCATGTGAGCTGCTCATCTCTGGTGCCATGTGTCCATGCTCGGTGCTGGATCATCCATGTGAGGGATTTGAGATTCCTGAAGCACAATGCATCTCAGATTTCCATTTGATCCCATTTTTATTTTTTTTTTCTGTGTTTGTTTGTTCTGGTGAATGCTCCCATGAGGAGCCCTGAGGATTTTGTCCCAGGAGAGCACAAGGAACATATTTACAGCCCTGGCACCCACAGGCTCAGCTTTCAGTCAGGGAAGGAGCACATCTCTCTCCACATCAGCCTGGAAGTTCTCTGCTGCATTTGGGATTAAACCCTTGGCTCCCATCTCTGCAGGGAAGGCACAGGAGGAACAGGAGCACCAAGACAAAGCAGCTGGCTTCCTTCTTCATGTGCTCACATCCTCTTTTTGGGGGCTGTGTTGGAAAACAGCCTTCCCAAAGTAGGATTTCTTTATCTTAAGTGGGAGCAAAGGCTTGGGGAAATTGCTTTTGTTTTCCTTAGGCAGCTAAAGCAGAATAAATGGTTTTATGGAAGTGTTAAATAAGGATGAACCTTAGCTATAAAGAATTGCCAGCAGAATATTGTCATGAACAAATCAGCCCTTGGAATTAGCGTGATCTAAAATTAATTTCATTTTCAAGTCAGTTTTGTCTTAAT